GTGTATTTGGGGGGGATTTGGGTGTATTTGGGGTCCTGGGGGGGAGGTGTCTCACCAGTCTGCCGGGGGGCGTAGAGGGGTTTGTCTGTCTGGAGCAGGAGCACCCCCCGGGGCCCCCCCAGCCCCACACGCAGCCTCTGGGGGGGCAGGGGGGGGCTCCGGGCCTCCAGCAGCAGCGTCTGCCCCATGGTGGCCTCCAGTGCCCCACAGTGCTTGGCCTGCTCTGGGGTCACCTGGGGGGCATTGGGGGTCACTGGGGGGACATGGGGGTCCATGATGTCCCCCTGCCCCATAAGGACGTCCCCACCTCCATGTGCTCCCCAAGAACATCTCCATGATGTCCCCCTGCCCCATGGGGACATTCCCATGGCCCCCCAGGACCCCCCTGTCCCCTCTGCCCCCCATGTCCTCACACCTCGATGTTCAGGATCTGGCTGAAGTCGTTGTGGGTCCCGAGGTCGAAGGGGACCGGGGGGGCGCAGGGTCCTGCCCCACGGTCGCCCTCCCCAGGCCAGGCTGTCACTGTCCCCATCACTGGCCCCACGGCCGCCACCAGCAGCCCCACGGGGGTCCCCAGGGCCACAAGCCGAGGTGCCACCAGCACCAGCCTGGGGGAGACACAGCGTGACCCATGGCTGCCCCATGGCTGCCCCATAGACCTTCTCCACCCCAGGGGTGTCCCAGAGTCCCCCCCACCCCACAGGTACCCCACATATGCCTTGATGTAACCCTGTCCCATAGCTGCCCTATAGCTGTGTCATAGCTCCACCTGCCCCATAGAGCCCCCATAGCCCCCTCTCAGCCCTATAGCTACCACATAGCTCCTCACAAACCCCATAGGAACTTAACAGCTCCCCCAGCCCCATAGCTGCCCCAGAACCCCGTAGTCCCTAAAGCCCCATAGGTTCTCCATAGTTGTACCCAGCCCCACAGCTCACCCCTCCAGCCCCAGAGCTGCCCTAGAGCCCCCATAGCTCCCCAAGCCCCATAGCTGCTCCACAGTCACACTCAGCCCCATAGTGCCCTCCCCCCAGCCCCACAGCTGCTCCATAGGCCCTACTCAGGGTCCTGGGGGCTGCCCCCCGGCATCGACAGGAGGAGAAGGAGGACGAGGAGACCCAACACCCAACGTGGCCCCATGGCATCGCTGATGTGGGGCAGCTGGGGCTGGCGGCAGAGGGTGAGCGCGTTGGGGGTCAATCATTAACCAGGATGCCGGGGTTCCCCCGCTGGCCCCATGGCCATTGACCCCTGGGTGGGGACACATGACTGCGGGGAAATGGCCCTGTGGGGTGGGGGGGTCTATGGGGCAGGGGGACTTGGATATGGGGGGCAACAGGGGCCCTATGGGGTCTATGGGGCACTATGGGGTCTGTAAGAAGTTATGGGGCCCTATGGGGTCTGTAAGAAGTTATGGGGCCCTATGGGGTCTGGAGGACAAGGGTTGATGCATGGGGTTGAGGTTGGATGTGGGGTGTTGGTCCCCATAGACCCCGCAGGTGACACTTGGTCCTCACTGTCCCCCCTCAGGTGACCATTTGTCTTGGGGACGCGTCCCCTTGTTGAACATCATGAGGTTCCTCATGGCCCCTTTTTCCACCCACTGAGGTCCCTCTGGGTGACCCCCCCGACCCTCTTGGGTCTCAGCTTCTCCTCCCAGTTTGGTGTCATTGTCAAACTGGGGTGGGGGAGGGGACACGCTGTCCCACCAGCCAGACCATGGAGGAAGATGTGGGACAGGTAGTGACCCCCCCCGGGGTGGGACCCAGACCTGCAGTAGGATGTCCCTCCAGTGTCCCCCTGTGCCCCCCATCTCCCGGGGAAGTCCCCATCATTCCCAACCCCCCATCTCCCCCCAGCCACTGAGCAGACGGGAGCTGAGCTCTGTTGTCACCAATGAGGCCACATATGAACTCGCCTTGCAATACCTCCCCTCCCCTTCCACCAGGTCATGTGTGATGTCACATGGGTGTGGCCAGCCCATCTGCCCGCTGTGTCTCTAACACACCAGCCCAACCCAGTGACACCCCTGAGACCCCACAGTGACACCCCAGTGACCCACCAGTAGCACCCCTTTGATCCCTCCATCCCATCCCAATGAGACCCTGAGACACCCCTGGGACCCCACCATGACCCCCTGGTGACCCCTAGGCCATCCCCGGTGACACACCCAGGCCCCCCTGGGGACCCCACAGGGACACCCCCCCAGATGCCATGGGGACACCCAGGCTGCGGCAGTGACCTCCCGGGAGGTCCCCCATGGTGCCACCCCTGGTGACATTCCTGGTGACACTCCTGGCACCCTCAACCCCACCTGAGACCCCCCCCCATGTCCCCCCGTCCCCCCAGAACCAGCCCCCCTGGGACCACCCAATCCCCTGCTGCCCCTTCCCCGCCCCCCCAGGACACCTGGATCCCTTCCCAGACGGATGGACAGAGGGACACAGGTGACACCACCATCCCAGAGAACCCCTGGGGAGGGGGTCCCAAGTTGTCGTGTTTCTCTTCCATCCTTCTGTGATGGCTGACAAAGAGGGCGGGGCCACCACGAGGCCATGGCGGAAGGGAGAGATGGATGGATGGAGGGATGGAGAGATGGATTGACAGATGGATGGATCAAGGTGGGGATGGATGGATGGAGAGAGGGATGGAGGGAGGGCTAGAAGGGGAGAGTGGAGGGATGGAGGGATGGAGGGGGATGGAGAGATGAAAGGATGGAGATAGATGGAGGAAGGGATGGAGACATGGATGAAGGAAGGGTGGAGGGATGGAGAGAAGGTTGGAGGAAGAGCAGGATGGTTGGATGGAGGGAGGGATGGAGAGGTGGCTGGAGGAAGGGGTGGAGAGAGGGACAAGGGGGTGGAGAGATGGGTGGTAGGACAGAGGCATGAATGGGTGGGTGGATGGAAAGATGGAGATGGTTGGATGAACAGAGGGAGGGAGGGGTTTGTGTTGTGGGTCTCCACCATGCCCACCCCCTCTCTCCAGACCCTCCCCTGACATCACACCCTCTCCACACCCCCCTCCTCCACCCCTGCTTCCTCCCCTACCGTTGTCCCTCCCTCCTCCCCCCTCCTCCTCCCCTCCTCTCCCCTCCAGCTCCTTCTCTCCCGCTTGGTTGTGGTCCCTCGGGAGCTGCCGGCGATGGCCGAGACCTCCAGGAGTCGGGGCAGGAGAGACCCCCCGCTGCCGCGGCACAGCCTCCGCCCGGCACAGGCATAGAGGAGGGGGTTCATGGCACTGCTGAGGAAGGCCAAGGCAGTGGCCGGTGGCCGGATGGCTTTGGCAGCTACCTCCAAGGTCCCACCACCTCCTCGTACGACCACTGCCACCTCCAACAAGCTGGCCAGGTGGTAAGGTCCCCACGCAACTGCAAAGGCTACCACCACGGCAGCCACCAGCCGGAAGGTACGACTGCGCCGGGCCAACCGGGTCTGGCGTAACCGGCGGATCAGTAACCCGTAGCCGGCAGCCACGGCGGTCAGTGGTAGAGCCCAACCCAAGATGGTCTCCAGAAGGTTGTGGACCACCAACCAAGCCTCCGTGCTGTGCACCCGCTGGCAGTGCCCATGCTCCACCCGTCGGAAGACAATGGATGGGATGGCCAACACCAAAGCCACCAACCAAGTTACTGCCGCTGCTCCATGAGCTAACTGTCCGGCATGACCACCCGCCGACACCACTGCTGTTGCTGGCTTGGAGACTGCCAAGCACCGATGGAGACCCAGAAGAGCAATGAGGAAGATGCTGACGTACATGGCAGCGGCACAGAGGTAGTTACACCCGCGGCAGATGGCCAAGCCCATGTTCCATTGGCCAACGCTCAAGGCCCGGAGGTAGATGGGACCAGTGAGGAGGGTGACCACGTCAGCCAAGGCCAAGTGGAAGATGAGGAGGACGGGGACACTGCGACGATGGGTGACGGCGCAGCTCCAAAGGACCATGGCGTTGCCCGGCAGCCCCACCACCACCGCCACCGACAGCAGGGCCAGCCCCACTGCCGCGCCAGGGATGGGGGCAGATGTGGCGTTCAGGGGGGACGAAGCATTGGCAGGGGACGAGGACATCATGGCAGTAGGTGGAGAGGGGCTGTGGGGAGAGGGGGACACAGAATCCTCCAGAGAAAATGCAGGTCTCCCTCCCTCCATCCCTCCCTCCTTCCATCCCTTCCTCCTTCCGCCCATCCCTCCATCCATCTCTCCATCCCTCCTTTCCACCACCTCTCCATCACTCAATCCATCCATGCCTTTCTCCATCCCTTGATCTCTCCATCTCTCCATCCCTTCCTCCATCCTGCCCTTCCTCCTTCCCTCCATCGCCCCTCCCTTTCTTCCTCCCTCCATCTCTCCATCCATCCTTTCCTCCCTTCCTTTCTCTCTCCTTCTGTCCTTCATCTCTCCCTCCTGCCACCTCTCCCTCCATCCCTCTCTCCATCCCTCCCTCCACCCTTCCTGTTCTTCATCCATCCCTCCATCTGTCCTTCTCTCCATCCCTCCCTCCATCTCTCCAACCCTCCAACCCACCTCCCATCTCACCCCACCCCCATGGCCCCTCCCCTCCTCATCCATCCCACCACCCCTCCTTCCTTCTCCCCACTCTCTGAGGTCTCCTTCTCTTCTTCCTTTACCCCCCTTGGCTCTTTCCCTCCATCTCGGCATCTCCCAGACCTCCTAGTTGCCCCCCCAGATCTCCCACTTGCCCACCACACCACCCAGTTTCCCCCATCAAACCTCCCAGTTGTCCCTGTTAGACATCCCAGTTGTCCACCCAGACCTTCCAGTTGCCCCCCAGTCCTCCCAGTGGGCCACCACCCGTTAGCCCCTGTTAAACCTCCCAGTTTCCCCCAGCTGTCCACCCAGATCTCCCAGTTGCCCCCCAGATCTCCCACTGGCCCTCCACACCACCCAGTTTCCCCCACCACACCACCAAGTTTCCCCCATCAAACTTCCCAGTGCACCCACTAGACTCCCAGTTGTCCACCAAGACCTTCCAGTTGCCCACAAGACCTCCCACTGAGCCACCACACCACCTATTTGCCCCCATCAAACCTCCCAATTGCCCCAGTAGTCCACCCAGATCTTCCAGTTGCCCGCCAAACCTCCCAGTCACCCTCCAGACCTTCTAGTCCTCCCCCGCTCCCCCCCGATCTTTCAGGTGCCCCCTCAAGACCTCCCACTCCACCAGCCTTCCCTACCTCAGGGACTCACATGTCCCTTCCTGGAGTCCCCAGCCTGGGTGGTGGATCCTTGGTGTCCCTGTCACCGGTGGTGGCTGTAACCGTTAGGTGCCACTTCCCCTCCACCCAGCCCCAGGCAGGAAACATTCACGCAAGAGGAAGGAGGCAGGAAAACCACAGGGGAAGAAGGGGACATGTGGTAGGGGAGGGACGCTGGACCTTATTTTGTCCCCTGGGGGTGGCGAAAGACAGGAGTGGTGGCATTGTCACCAGGTAGAGAGACTCTCCAGGTGGTCCACCAGGAGTGGGGGTGTCTGGTTGCTGCATCACATGGCTGTGGGGGTGGTGGGAGCACGTTGAAATGGTGTTGATGGGACAGGGAAGGTCTTCTACGTGTGGTATAGTCAATATACCTTCTCTTCCTTCCCTCCATCCATCCCTCCACCCGCCTGTCCTAAGATTTGTGTCCTGGCCCTAAAATCAGGGCCACCCCCAGCAGATGCCACCCATGATGGGGTGACCCCAAGTGAGAAGAAGACCCAGTGACAGTGGTGGCCCTCCATAACCCACCACACTGAAGGAATCCCCATTTCCCATCATGCCATTGTCCAAACAAAGAGAGCGAAGACTGGAGATGTCCCACAATGGGATCCAACCTTCCCCTTCCATGGCTCCCCCCCAAATTCCCACAATGTCACTGACTAGCCAACGTGTCCAAAGACTAGAAATGGGCAATGTTGGCCATTTTCACCCTCTGCTGCAGTTTTTTTGCCCCTCTAAACTCATGGGGTTGGGTTTAGGCAGATGTTCTCCAAGTGGGACTTCACTGTAATCCAACCCAAGGCTTTCAGCCACCTTGGGAAGAACTTCCTCAGGACTCAGAAAGTCCATGTGGGTTTGAGGGAGAATAAAAATTATATTTTTCTTTTATTTCTTCTTTCTTTCCACCGGGATAGAGATGAGGCTTCAAATAAGGCACTTTTTGATCATAATCCAGATGTTTCCTGGGTTATTCTGAGGTCAAGGATCATTTTTATCAGAAAAGACCATGGTAGAAACACTTGGGTGATCTTTGTTTTGGAGTCCCTCCCAGCGAATGTACACTAATGAAGAAATGAAGGAAGAAAATTCTCATTAAACCATTTTTTTTTGAGAAAAATTGCTTTCTGCTCACTGAAGAGGCTCATGGGGACACCCCCCACTCCAAATGTCCTACGCTTTGGCAATGAATATGGTGTTAGAACCTCCTCTCCATGCATTCAGAGGACCTGGGGTTAGGGATGAGGTGGCATCTGGGCCACTAACACCCCACGTGGACAGCATTTTGGGGGAAGATGCTCTGCATTGCTCAATATGTTGGGGACTCAGGTGTGGTGTACCTGGTCTGAGGACATCCTCAGAGGAGAAGCGCTTGGGCCTCAACGGGATATCTTCTCCTCAGCTGTCAATATCCCTTCACTTTAATTAATTTTGTACCCTTTGTATCACTTTATATCCTTTCTATCACTTTATACTCTGATCCTTATCCTTCCCTTTACCCCATTTACTCCTCCTCCAAAAGATACAAATAGCCAATAGGAACACCAGGACCAGTATAATGGCACCAGTGGCTTATTGGGCCACCAATGGGATGCAGTGACACAGGGCTGTTTGTTAGAGGTGCCAAAAGAAGCAGCAACAGCCTCTATAAATCCAAATTTTCCACCTTTCTCTCCTGGTCATCCCACAGTTGGTGTCTGAGATGTTTTCCTCCACCATCGATGGTGAGGATGCACCAAGTTTTGCTATGTTGTCCCATCCCACCTCCAAAAAAAGTTCATTTTCTCCCAGGTGTAGGGCTCAAATGTCATCAGAAGGCTGCTTTGGCCAACAATGTTCTCCCCCAACCACACAACATGCCCCCACCCCCAGATGAGCCCACCATGGACGCATGAGCAGGTGAATGTATCTCTAGCACAAACATGAAGGTTCCTACAGTCTTCAAGGGGCTTGGGAAAGACTTGGGGTGGAGGACATCACCTTTAGAGTGACCATCATGGCTGGGATGAAGTCTTTCACAGGTCTTTTTGGTGGGATATCATGGTCAGGAGCACCAAAGGGCAGCAGAGCTCCGTAGAGTTGGCTCTGAGGACAGCATCTTGGAAGGATGGGTCCTTCCTTGGAAGGAAGGTCCACAGCAGTACTCAGTTGACACTCAAAATAAACACCACGTACGGCAACTGCTGAAGGTATTACGAGTAGATACAGAATGGGCTGAAATGTTTTATGTCCACCTTGTCTCCATCTTCTCCAGGAATATCTCCCAGACTTGTGTGCCTTGAGGTAGAACCCAAGGATAAGAACCAGCAGTGGATGAACCCAAGGAGAAGAACCATCAGGGGATGAACCTGAGCAGAAGATCCATCAGGGGATCGGGATCAAGTCAGGGCTGGTCAACATCAAGGTGTTACCAGGTTGATGACACAGTGAGGTCATTCTAAGCCACATCTGAAAGATCGTGGAGATCAGGAGATCCTCCTGACAAGCAGCAAAAAGCAAGTGTTGCATGTGTGCTGGTTTTGGCTGGGGTAGAGTTCATTTTCTTCATAGTAGCTGGTATGGGGCTGTGTTTTGGATTTGTGCTGGAAACAGTGTTGATAACACAGGGATGTTTTTGTTACTGCTAAGCAGTGCTTACACAGAGCCAAGGGCTGAGCAGTGCTTACACAGAGTCAAGGTCTTCTGCTCCTCACCCCACCCCACCAGCAAGCAGGCTGGGGAGGGCACAAGAAGTTGGGAGGGGACACAGCCAGGACAGCTGACCCCAACTGATCAAAGGGATATTCCAGACCATATGACGTCATGCTCAGCATATAAAGCTGGGGGAAGAAGAAGGAAGGGGGGAATGTTCAGAGTGATGGTGTTTGTCTTCCCAAGTAACCATTACGCAGCATGCTGGAGCCCTGCTTTACCGGAGGTGGCTGAACACCTGCCTGCCCATGGGAAGTGGGGAATGAATTCCTGGTTTTGCTTTGCTTGTGTGCGTGGCTTTTGCTTTCCCTACTAAACTGTCTTTATCTCAGCCCAGGAGTTTTCTCACTTTCACTTTTCTGATTCTCCCCCCCATCCCACCACAGGGGGAGTGAGCGAGTGGCTGTGCGGGGCTTAGTTACCAGCCGCGGTTAAACCACGACAGCATGCAACTTTTGAAAAAGTCCAAACAATGAGCTGGAGAACCAGAGTTTGTTCAACCTCACTTTGGTTAAGGAAGGTGTCCTCCTTGATCCCACCCTTGGATCCCACCTCTGGTGGTCTGAAAGAGAAGGTGGCTGGATTTACCCTGTTTTATTATTGCTGGATACCAATGCATCCAGAGGTGACAACTTTGAAGTTGGCACATCTTAACCCTGCTCACGCTAAGGTGCACAGGTCCAGGACTTGGACACACACACACAATTGGCCAAGAGCAGAAAAACTGATTTCAGAGTTAGGACAGAGCCTAGAGTTAGGCTGGAGCCATAGGCTGGGCAGGGGATAGGCAGATCTTTCCTGGCCATGCAGGGATGCTGGCTCGCAGCTGGATGGTGGGGCAGAGTGGACCCTCAGCAAGTTTGCAGATGACACCAAACTGGGAGGAGTGGCCACAGGGTCACATTGCCACCTAGAGGTACCTCAACAGGCTGGAGCAATGGGCTGGCAGGAACCTCATGAAGCTCAACAAAGAGAAAGGCCAAGTCTTGCCCCTGGGGAGGAACAACCCCAGGCACCAAAATATGCAGGGGACCACCCAGCTGGAAAGCAGCTTGGAGAAAAGGCCCTGGGGGTCCTGGTAGACACCAAGGTGCCATGTGCCAGGAATGTGGCCTTCCAGCAAAGAAGATGAACAGTGTCCTGGGCTGCATTAGGGAAAGTACTGCCAGCCAGTGGAGGGAGGGGATCCTTCTCTTCTGGTCAGCACTGGTGAGGCAACATCTGGAGTGCTGGGGCCAGTGCTGGGCTCCCCTGTATAGGAGAGACATGGCCATACTGGAGAGTCCAACGAAGGGCCGGGAAGATGGTGAAGAGACTGGAGTCCCTCACATAGGAGGAAAGTCTGTGAGACCTGTGACTGTTCAGCCTGGAGAAGAGAAGGCTCAGGGGGATCTTACTGATGTATATCAATACCTGAAGGGAGGGTGCAAAGAGGATGGAGCCTATTCTCAGTGGTGCCCAGTGACAGGACAAGAGGTGATGGGCTGTCATGGTTTAACCCCAGCCAGCAACTAAGCACCACGCAGCCGCTCACTCACTACCCCCCCACCCAGTGGCATGGGGGAGAAAATTGGGAAAAGAAGTAAAACTCGTGGGTTGAGATAAGAACAGTTTAATAGAACAGAAAGGAAGAAACTAATAATGATAATGATAACACTAATAAAATGACAACAGTAATAATAAAAGGATAGGAATGTACAAATCATGGGCAGTGCAATTGTTCACCACCCGCCAATCGACACCCAGTTAGTCCCTGAGCGGCGATTCCCCCCCACCCCCATTCCCCCCCAGTTTATATACTAGATGTGATGTCACACAGTATGGAATACCCCGTTGGCCAGTTTGGGTCAGGTGCCCTGGCTGTGTCCTGTGCCAACATCTTGTGCCCCTCCAGCTTTCTCGCTGGCTGGGCATGAGAAGCTGAAAAATCCTTGACTATAGTCTAAACACTACTTAGCAACAACTGAAACCATCAGTGTTATCAACATTCTTCGCATATTGAACTCAAAACATAGCACTTGTCCTGGTTTCAGCTGGGATAGAGTTAACTGTCTTCCTAGTAGCTGGTACAGCGCTGTGTTTTGAGTTCAGTATGTGAAGAATGTTGATAACACGGATGTTTTCAGTTGTTGCTCAGTAGTGTTTAGACTATAGTCAAGGATTTTTCAGCTTCTCATGCCCAGCCAGGGCACAAGAAGTTGGCACAGGACACAACCAGGGCACCTGACCCAAACTGGCCAACGGTGTATTCCATACCGTGTGACGCCCCATCTAGTATAGGAAATGGGAGGTGGGGGCAGGGAATCGCCGCTTGGGGACTGGCTGGGTGTCAGTTGGCGGGGGGTGAGCAATTGCCCT